TTAAACTCACACCAGGCGCGTGCCACATGTGCATGTGTGTGCTTGCCCAAGAGGAGAATGGAGGAGAATGGATTGCGGTGTGGCCATTCCCCAGTGGTGATTTCTTGCTTTCTGTATCTTTGTCTCTCTCTGTCTTTCTGGTGAGCACACGTGCCCTATAGCGAAAACCTCTCCCAAAAAAAGCAACTTAATTGACCTTCTCTTAGGACTTTCTATTTAAGTAAAGTTTTAAAGTATAACATGCCCTCAAAGCATGTTATAAAGCGTTCAGTCAAGTGGCACTACTATAATTGTTTATTATTCATTCTTAGACAATTTAGTTGTTTCCAGTCCTTCTCTTTTACTATAGTATGTGGAATACCAGTTATGGGTATATTTGCTGTTTGGGGTGTTTCTGTTGTTAGTGGTAGGCTTTTGGTGTGTTTGTTTTTATGTCTCTTAGGGTACTTTTAGACTAAATCCCTAGAGTGAAATTTTTTTATCAAGTTGATTAAGCATTATCAAGACTTGTGATACATGTTATTGAACTGCTTATTATCCTGACACATTTAAGTCTATCATAGTTAGTCCTCTACTCTGTCTGACTTTCCTTTTCAGACTCCTAGAATAAATAAGCTTTAAAAATAACAGGAGCCAGATGGTGGCACAGCGGTAAAATGCAACACTGAGGCTGACCCACGTGGGAAGGTTCTGGATTTGCCTCCAGAGACCTCCCTAAGTACACCAGGCACACATGCCGGTGATTCAGGGCTGGCCGAAGGCTGGGAGTGGGTCAGTGTCAGGACCCTGTTGGGAGTGTCCGTCACTGTCTTTTTCTCACTTAGAAGAAATGAATAAACTTTGAAAGGAATGTGAGTGTGTGCAGTTGGTCCCACGGGCCCACTGTGAGATGGACCTGAGCTAAAACTTCATTGGTCACCTGACCTCTGTCAGCCCCTACTCTTACTGGTGGATCACAGTGACATTTTGTCTTAAGGAATTACTGTCATATCAGAACCCGTGTTCCGTAGTCCCTGTAAGTTTAGCCATTTTTCCTTTCCCAATGTAGTCACCTTGGTAAATAACCGAGTCCCACTGGGAAGGCTGGAAGACTTAAGTAAGAAATCTAACCCCCACCTTAAAATATTCACCATCATTTCTTGTTAAGTATTGGGTCATTGGAAAAGTCATCATTTTTACATAGAAAAATGTATCATGATTCAATAGAAATAGTAAGCCATGGGTTGCAGAATATCTAGTATAATTTAATAAAAACTAAAAGTTTGAGGGGACCAGCAGATGGCGTGGTTAAGGCACTGGACACACTCATATGGCTGACTGCAGTTCAAGTCATATCTCTGTCTGGTCAAGTTAAAATGAATGAATTAATAAATAAAATAATTCTTTTTTTAAAAAACTAAAAGTGTAAGACTTTGGGGTTTGGTCTGTCAGAAGAGGGAAATCGGGCAAGTGTACAATAGGCTGGGATTCAGTTACACCTGCGGAAATGAGGGAGGGGCTTTTCAGGTAGAGGAGTCATCCCCAGTAACAGAATGGCCTGGTTTAGCTAGAACATGGGTTTTAGCTGTTGTGGCCTAAGAAACGTCATGTCAAATGGAATCCTCCACTTTCATTTTCTGATTTAAATTTCATCTTTGGTTTAATGTGAAAGCTGTGGCCAGTAGCATTGGATTATTGAAATCGGTGATTTCTAAGAGTCCTTAAGCCAGTGGGAACGATGTTACTGGTTGTCAGTGTGTGATCCTGCCAAAGCATCTTATACTCTATGAAACATTTTGGGTCATCAGAAAAGTCGAAACGTATTTTTCTGTTTCTCTATCTAAAAATGTGTTATGACTTTCCCGATGACCCAATATTTCATATCTGTGACTTAATTCACAATAATTATTGGATAGTTAAGACTGAGGAATTATAATGATGAAGAGAGGTTCAGGGACTTGCCCAAGGTTCTAGCTGTCTTTCCATCATGCCTGTCTCCCTATGTTTTCCTTTGAGCTAAGAATTTACCCAGTAAACTAGGACAGACATGGAACCTAAACCCAGATTCCTCGCTTGCATATCTGTCCTCTCCTTGTTATTTCATCCAGGCTTGCTTTTCCACAGAAATGTATGTACCACGTTCCTGCCAGGTTCCAGGCACTGTGCTTGTCTCCTCCCTCAGCCCTGAAGCAGCTTAGCAGCCCAGGTGGGCAATCAGCCTAAAGGAAAGGAGTGAATTCTTTTTCATTTCCTTTTTTTTTTTCTTCCAAGTTTGTCTCTTCCCTGAGGGAGATAGACGGTACCCTAAGAAGGTCTTCAAGCTGTGATCGATCACCCCAGTCTGCCTGGACTGAGTGCTCTGCATGCTTAGGGAGGTCCCAGGGCACAAACCCAGAACCTTCCACATCTGGCTCCAGTGGCGTTACACTGTGCCACTGTGAGACCCCCCCAGGGCCAGAATTCTAACATGCCTCTTCCATTTTCTAGTGGACAGTTAGGGCTTCCTGGTGAAAACACATGCTCCATCCCTCTCGTGAAATAAGCCCAATGTCCTTGTCTGTGCAAAAAAGTGCTTTTGTCTCTGTGACAAGTAGCTATATTTCACAGTTTGCCATTTTGTCATGCTCATTAACGGTGTCTATTCTTCCTGTCCACACTGTTTTCCTCCCAAAAAACAGCCCCATCCTAGCCCCACCCGAGTTTAGCGCAGTTCTTCAGAGCAAGCTCCTCAGGCCCCAGGGTCCCATCCACTCACTAACATAGGGCACTTTCACCCTACTTTTCCTCTCCCAGGCGTCTTATAATCTGGACTCGCATTATAGTCTGTTTTGCAGACTTGTTTTCTTTTTCCTTTAGTTACCATAGTTACCTACTTTGTATATGAAATAATCATCATTCCCCACCCTTTATTCCCCCACTAGAAGTTTCACTGTTTTCTGATGTGGCCTTTGCAGAAGGAATTGATGGCTTTTGAATCTTTTCCTTCCTGGCTGTACCTCCAAAAAACATTTCTTGCTCTCCTTTTTATGGGTCTTTACTCTAGAGTCCAGATTTATTTAGGCTTCAGATGGCTGCTTCATTTTACACTGTTTTTAGATAGCCTCAGCCCATCAGCCAGTGACCTAGAAAGAGGATTATGAGAGGGGAAGTAACTGATTTTTAAACAAAACAAGGCAAAAAAAAAAAAAAAAACCCAAAAACCCATCTGCCCTAAACTGGTTTTACCTGTATTACTTTGATTGTGAGTAATAAAAACAAATAAATTATATAATTACAGGGGAAGTAAGGCCCTGTCAGATTGTGGTCCAGACTTAAAGTGTTTGTTTTATGTGTCAAGTCATCTTTGGCTCAACCTAGACCTCTGAAACCACTAGCTTTGGTAGACTGTGTGCCTTGGTAATTTCAGGGTCATTAAGGTTAGCAGAGTATCCAGATCACTGCTTCTCATTATAATAAAATGGCATAAATGACTAATGAAGGAACCTTCTGGCAGAGGCTGTCTGAGGAGGCACAGCCCTTGTTTTTGGTAGAATGGTGCATGGTACTGGGGACCAGAGGACTCCTCTTTAGGACCTCGCTCAGGTAGAGGTGAGCCCCAGACCACCCAGGCAAAGTTCCTTCACTTGCGGGCCCAGCCTACTCATGAGCAAGATGAGATAATTTGTCTGCTTGGCATTTGGGACAGTTTTAGCCATTGGGTGACTTCCACGTAAGAATCGGTTCAGTTGCTTTATAAAAGAATATTGGGGGTCCATCCACAGTGGCACAAGCAGTAAGGCTCCAATGAACAGTGGCTGATGTCACCAGCGTTCCTGGAGTTTCAAGCTCATGCTACTGAACACTACCATATATGTCTACTTCATACTCCACTGTTCCCACCAGACCTTCTTACACCTTTCTGCTCATTGTCTCTGTGTTCCATTAGCTGTTCCTTCTCTCATGTTACAGTTCCCTCCCTCCTTCCTTCCTCTGCAGATCTCCTGTCTTTCCTTTAAAAAGTAGCTCAAGTCCTGCCCCTTCTGACTCCTTCAGACCTGGCAACTCCTGCCTTCCTTTCAGCACTCAGAAGTTGACCTTGATGCAGATGTATGGCCCGTAACAGTTGCTGTGTAGATAATCTGTCAGCTCCTTGAAACTAAGCTTCATAGAGTTCAGGGTGTGTTATGTGCCAAACTTGTGCTAGGCATATGGTAGGCTAGCAGAAAATACTGGTGGCCTGGAATGTGCCCCTAAAATAAAATATGATTGAGTATAGTATCACCATAGATACAAGAACAACAGTCATTATACAAGTTGGGGGGAAAAAAGAGGGAAGGTCATTTCCTGGCGTGGAGCACCAGTGATAGTAGAAGCAGCACATCCTTGATGGCCTTACATGCTTTACCTTGTCTCACTTTCCCAGCAGCCTTGGGAAGTATGTATGGGAGACATGAAACTGCCTGTTTAGAGATAGTGAAGCAAATGGCTGTTGTCAACCAGCCTGCGGTAAAAACTAAGTTCCTATCAAGGTGTCTTTTTTTGAGAGAGATTTCTTTGCTTTAGGGCACATGCACTTGCAGGAGAGACAGAGATAGAAAGTAAGAAATCACCACACTCCACCACCCCCCAGTGGGATGGCCATGCTGCAGTCCCTTCTCCCATTCTCCTCTTGGAATTTTGGGCATACACACACACATGCCCAGCATGAGTTTCAAGCTGCCAGGTTCAGGATGCAAACCATGGTTGGCCATCTGGGAGTCCAGTACCTTAACCACCACACCACTTTCTGGCCCCCTATCTGGGCATTTTACTTCCATCCCCAGGTGCTTGACCTCAGATGTTTGACACTAGTCCCTGATGCCTGCATTCTACCTTGACTTATCCTGGGCCTACATGTGGAGTTGGCTTGGTGCCAGCTGTGTGACACCCTTTGGAACAGTTGCCACCATGGTCACTCTTCATTGTGCTACATCCCTTTAGTCTTAAAGTGTTATGAGTGTGTCTATCGTACTCAAGCTCTTTCCTGTCTTCCTTTGATTTAGGAGAAAGGATCCTGGGTTATGCCGAGGAGCCCTGCTATCTATGGTTTGTAATGGAGTTCTGTGAAGGTGGAGACCTGAATCAGTACGTCCTGTCCCGGAGGCCGGACCCAGCCACCAACAAAAGCTTCATGCTACAGCTCACGAGCGCCATTGCCTTCCTGCACAAAAACCACATCGTACACAGGGACCTAAAGCCAGACAACATCCTCATCACAGAGCGATCTGGCACCCCCATCCTCAAGGTGGCAGACTTTGGACTAAGCAAGGTCTGTGCTGGGCTGGCACACCGAGGCAAAGAGGGCAATCAAGACAACAAAAATGTGAATGTGAATAAATACTGGCTGTCCTCGGCCTGCGGCTCAGACTTCTACATGGCTCCCGAAGTCTGGGAGGGACACTACACAGCTAAGGCAGACATCTTTGCCCTGGGCATTATCATCTGGGCAATGATAGAAAGAATCACTTTTATTGACTCTGAGACCAAGAAGGAGCTCCTGGGGACCTATATTAAACAAGGGACAGAGATCGTCCCTGTTGGCGAGGCGCTGCTAGAAAACCCAAAGATGGAGTTGCACATCCCCCAGAAACGCAGGACTTCCATGTCTGAGGGGATCAAGCAGCTCTTGAAAGATATGTTAGCTGCTAACCCACAGGACCGGCCCGATGCCTTTGAACTTGAAACCAGAATGGACCAGGTCACATGTGCTGCTTAAATTCAGGGCTAAGCATCTTGGGTGTTTTTAAACTAGGTGAGTGCCCTTTTTTGTCCTGCATGCACTGACTCAACTGGATACTTCATCCTGGGCCATAGGCTGGACAAGTGGAGTTTGAGGGAATGCAGAGGTAAAGAAGACTAAGTGTACCTTCAGTGATCCCCCTAAGTCTTTTTTTTTTAAGAGGTTTTTGCCCTAGGGCATGTATGCTTGCTAGAGAGAGACGACAGTGAGAAGGAAAGAAATCAGTGGGAATAGCCACACCACGATCCCTTCTCCATTCTCCCAGTATCTTGGGCTTGCACACACATGCACCTGGCATGAGTTTCAAGCCACTGGTCTAGGACTTGAACCGTGGTTGGCCATATGGGAATCCAGTGATGTAATTGCCATGCCGTTCTGCTGGCCCTACCACCTAAGTCTTCACGAGGAAATATGTGGGATTATTTGGGTATGAGTTGGAAAGTCTAGAGTTTTCTGAGAGGAGATTTTGTTTAAACTGAATCTTGAGTTTTTAAGAAATACTTTTTCTCATCAGATAATAAATGCACGCTGTAGAAAATGCAGACAGGGTACAGTTTTTCGGAGAGTGAACACTGTGTCTGAGCATATCCCTCTTAATTCCCACAACCATTTCTACATGGCTTATATCTTGCTATAGTAAGAGTGGTTTCATGCTCTTTATACTCAAACTACTGAGCATTCCTCAAACTCTGATTTCAGTGATTATATAACATTGCATTATGTAATATATACTACACTTTAGATATCAGTTGATTTCTTCATTTTAGAGATCACAAAGAATATATTGTGAATATTCTTCTGTGAACGTCTTTGCTTATTTAACAGATTAATTGTGGGCTTTGATTTGTCAAGTACTGTGTGAGATTCTGTAGTAACGGATGAAATGAAATCAGAAACCTTCTTCATCATAAATTCTGCAACTTAGGGTGAGAAATACTCATCAATATTTATCTTAGTTGTTTTCTCAGTGAAGAAGAGATATTAAGGGAAATTGACATCTCAGGTGATATAGCTCAGACTCAAGAGTCGGGAATTGAGGGCAGGGGTTAGTATCCCACATAGAAGGGCTAGCCTCAGTAAAGGCCATAGGGAGCCTGGCACATTTGAGGAAATAGACTAGTATGGGTTAGTGTGGAGTGTAGACATGTGGAGACTAGAGAGGACAGGGACCTAGCAGGATAGGAAACAGTGGACAGAGGTTGTGGTGAAAAATTCAAAGGCGTCTGCCAGGAACAGCAGAGTAATTCAGTTGGTCCGAGTTGTGAGCAAGGGAAATAATATCAGAAATTAGGTGAAATATGGGACCCTGGAATTGGACCTTGCCCGAGTAGGATTTGAGAGCCTCCTAAGACCAGAGCAGAACTCTTGTAGCACTAAGGAAACTTCCAGTATATACAAGTTGAATTGGATGGGAAGAAAGACAGGACCGAGAGACCAGTTGGACTAATTTTGTTCACACTGGCTGGAGGTGTAGAATCCAAAATTAAGTAGCTCTGAGGGTATAGGATTGCCTGGATCATCAGGGTGGAGAGTTGGCAAGACAACTGGCCAGGTGTTGAAGTAGTCCTTCACCTCGGTCAGCTCTTATTTCCTTCCTTCGGCTTGTCACCCTTAATAATTCTAGGTGGAGTTGTTCATATCGAGTTGAATACTACGATATACCTGGTTATATCTGTAATGTTCTCATTGAACGTATTTCTGGAGTGAATCACTAGGTTTGATTCTTCATTCCACAAACACTGAATACCTTCCAGGTGTTTGCCACCCACTGAGTTAGAGAATATCAGTCCCCAAAGCTAGGTTTGGGGTAATGCTATGTTAGAAACTAAAAGATTGGTTAGACAGTGTTTTAATTATATTTCATGCTGTCACTTGCCATTTTCATTTCATCTTTCTGTTTTTGAAAGTCCTCTTAGAATTCAAGTTTGCCTTGGCAGAGGAAGAAGGTTGTCATTGGAAGAGGGACATGAATTTGGGTTATGATTGTGAAGTTGTCACAACTAATTGAAATCAGGGCTCCCATTTGGATATCTGCACTTGGGATTTGTGCGGTATTGCAGGGCAGCTTCACCTAAATAGGAGTGATTCTTCCACCTAGGAGAAAGAGGTGACCTTGTGAAGATTAGGAATGTGGTTACTAGTAAGTGTTCCAGGCTCTGGCTGTCACAAAATGAATGAACAGATCTGTACCGTTAGTTGAACAATAGCCTATCCTACCCTTTCCTGGGTGGCACTTAGAATTTTGGTCCTGGGCACAGGCCTGTGTGACCAAAACTGAACCTTGTGGGACCAAAAGCTGCAAATCAGTTGTGGTAAAGATGAGCTATATATATCTGGCTGCTTAGAAACTCAGAGGCTTGAGGTGGGAAGAACACTGAGTCCAGCATCCTTTCCCTGTGCCAAGCTTTAGAGATGGAAATGCTAATTATATATTTATTGGTGAACTGTTTACTAGGCACCATTTTAGGTATAGACAATATACTAGTTAACAAAACAGAGAAAAGTGTTTGCAACTGTGGAACTTAGATTCTACTGGGAAGACATGTAGGTAGTATATTAAAAAGTGCATGTGACATGTCATAAATTAGAAAATAATAGTAATATGGATAATATCAAATAAGTAGGTTTTGGGGGAGAAAAGTGCTAAATGCTGGGGTAGCCTTAGGAGAGGGTGACAGAACAGGATAAAGAGATCAGGATGATGGGGCGGGGTTGCGCTTTTAAATAGAAGAGATCAGGGTAAGTCTTCTTGACAGTGGTGGCCTTTGAGCAAAGGTTAGAAAGAGTTGAAGGCAACGAATCTTGAGGATTTCTGGGAAGGAGCATTCCAGAGGTAACACCCAATTTAAAGGCCTGAAAGCTGGACAGAGTGAGCAAGGAGAGTGCAGGAAAAGAGGGTAGTAACTAAGAGTGAAATAGAGTTGGCCTTGTAGACCATTGTTAAGATTTGGGTTATTATTTGGGGATGATAAGAAAAGCCACTGGTGTTTTCAACTGTGTGATATCCTATCATTTAAAAGGATTGGTTCATCTGCTATGCCAAAAATAAACTACAGTAGATAGAGGGATAAGAATGGAAGCCTCTGTAGTAATCCAGGTAAGAGATGATGGAAACTGAAACAATGGAACAGGGAAGATGAGGATTGGATTTGGGATATATTTCAAAGTCAGAGCCAACAGGATTTCTTGTTGGATTGGATGTGAGGTTTGAGAGAAAGGAATTAAGGATGATTTCAAGGATTTGACATAAGCAATTGGAAAGATAGAGTTGCCATCGAATGAGATGGGAAAGACAATTGGGAGAAATAGGTTTGACGGGAAGAAGTTTGGCCCACCTAGTTAGAATCCAGGTAAGTACAGATCAAGATTAGGCAGTTAGATGAACCTGGAATGCAGGGAAGGGTCCAACTGGGAGATCAAACTTCCCGATTTCCATTGTACTGGAGTGGATACAGACAAAAAGTCAGAAGACTAAGGCCTGCACTGTCCAACATTGAGACTGGGGAGAAACTAAGGCAACAGATAGGAAAAGGCATCAGGAGGAAAATAATCAGCTGTGGCATTGTGGCATATGATGCCAGTAAGTCAAGTGGACCATGACTGGGAACTGATGGTTGAATTTAGCAGATGGGAAGTATCTAGTGCCCTTGAGCAATTCGATGGAGTAAGGGGGATCCCTAGCTAAAATGAATTGGAGAAGAATGAAAGGAGAGGAATTAGAGGCAGAACAGATTGATAATTCTCAGTTCTTGATCTAAATTTTTATACTTCAAATTATTGAGGACCCCAAAGAGTTTTTGTGGATTATAGCTGTGGATTTTTGCGGTACTGAAAGTTAAACTGAGAAATGTTTTCTGATGTTCCTCTTTAATGTCTATTTTAGTAGTGAGCTGGATTCTCATTTGCTTCTGCATTGTAGTCTGGTGCCCAATCTGTCATCCTGTAACTTCTGGAAGATTCCTTTTGTATACTTAAGAGAGAACGAAAGTGAAAAAGGCAAATGATTTATTATTATGAAAGAGTTTGGCTTCACAGACTCCAGAACCAGACCACACTTTGAGAACTAATGATATAGATGACTCGTAGGAATTTTGCTGAGAAATGGGTGGTAGCTAGAGACCTAGAGGGGATTGTTCACGATCCCAAATGAAGAGAAGACGGAATTTGTGTAGCCTGATTCCTAGCCAGCTTACCACTAGACTTGCCAGGGTTCAAACTAGCTGCCTACATAAACACACTTGACCCCAGTGCCAGTGTATGAAGCAACACCTCAGTAGTCTAGGGTTGTAAATTTCAGGATAACATTTAAGTTAGGGATAAATAGATTTCGTTTTTTGGTTTTTTGGGGGGGTTTTTTTTGGTTGGTTTTTGGTTTTTGCAGGAATATACTTCGGGTTGGAAACTTGGTATTCCCTGAAAGAAGTGTTCCTCATGGCAGTACAGACATTCACCCCCTCCCATTTCTATGCTTTACTGGCTGTGTGGCCTCAGGCAAGGTATTTTACCTCTCTGGGCCTTGATTTTATTATCCATAAAACAGAATCAGTCATATTTATCTTATTGAGGTTGTTAGAATTACTGAGGTTGTGGAAGTACCAGTATAAACAGTCTAAATTAAATGTTACACAGTAGAATTTTAGATTCACACCTGGCCTCAGATGGAAATGTCTTTTCTCCCCTCTGATGACAGTGTTAGTAGCCTTGTTTCGGAGGATTACCAAATAGCTTTTCTTTTAAAACAAAGCCGTACTCAACACCACCCCATCTAAGTCATTTGTTCCAGAAAAATGCATCTATTTTTAAAGATTACTCAATGGTTGGTCCTTTCTCTTATTTGTCACTTTTGGAGGATATTTAGTAATTCCTAATGGTTCCTACCAGCCAGTCACAAGCCATCCCCCAAGCACGAAGCCAAGGAGCTTATGTTCCAGGTGCCACCGCCCGCATGTTACCAGACAGGGTGTTGTAGGATGAGAGAATC